GTATAAGAAAAACTTGAATAACTGAACCTAAACCCTTCCGATTTAGACTTGTGAGGTATCATTGGAAAGGAATTTCTTTGCTAATAAGCTCATTCAAAGAATGAAAGGGAAAGGTAGGATGAACGAACATCATTCAAAGTTGCACTAAGATGTATTGGTATTTTTTTAACATAAAAGTAGTGGAAAAATACCTTTCTACCAAGATCCCTTAAGTCTAAATCAGAATAGTTTTGGCCCAGTTATTTAAGTTTTTCCTAAATCAATCTTTAAAAAAAGGAAAAATCAAATCAAAAATCTGATTACTACGATGCCGTTGAAGAGATTTTAAAATACTTTTATGCAGATTTTTTAAGCCTATTCTGTTTTGTCATCTGAGGGGACTTTTTCAAAAAGTTCAAAAACTCCATTTTTGGAGGTATTTTAAAATCGGTCCAGCTCGCTTAAATCTTAATATTTTTCCGAAATATTTTGGTGGACGTCTTAATATTCAATAAATTTTGTAATACCGGCGGAAAAGCCGCAACTTTTTTTGGTGATGCAGTCTAATGTACATACATATGTATCCATACAAATGTTTTACATACATACATGGGTTAATACATACCTTTTTTCTTTATCTTCTCAGTTACGCATGTTGACTTCAAATAGTGTTTCTTTGATGTTATTTATTTTTAGAGTTTCGTACTGTTAAGTACTTCAACTCTTCTGTTTTTGTTGAAGGCTTTGAAGAAAAAGATTAAATTTGCACAAATACATAAGTATATATGTACATAGAGTAGGAAATTATACTTTTTTCACGTCGTACATACATACACATATGTATAGATGTATATTGTTAATATGAGCTCTTTGTCTGTTTTTTAATTATTTTGGTAGATTTTCACACTCATTGGATTTTTGTGTATGTACATATATAAACACACATATATCTGATATTAATAACCGTATTGAAAATTAAAACCACTTTAAATATTGATGTTTCATTTGCACCATCTTTGTTACACCCTTTAGATAAGTATATACATATGTATGGACACATATGTACATACATACATAGTATATACGTGTAGGTACTATATGTATTTTATATTTCCCGCACACGAAAGCGAACATAAATATGCGCTTGCTATATGTACACAGTTATATAAATATGTACATGCACATCTATGTATGTATGTACATATGTATGTTAACTACTTTCATATGTATGAACTATGTACGTCTTTATTTGGATGTGCGGGGTATCGGAGTTCGATATCCGTTTCCGTTTTACAACATTCTCACGGTTTGACAAGTAAGATGGTTCCAAAAGCAATCTTTTCCTTTTTGATTAACTTTGGCTAAGTTTATTCGATTTAGCCTTTATTAACGCAATGAAATTCTCTTTTTTTTTTTGTTTCACTGGTAATTTCTTTTATTTATTTTACTTTTCGCACCTATCGATACACATCCGCCGCAACCGTCTGAGAGCAAACATACACATTTACTTAGAAAACAAAGCAAATCAAATAATCAGCACATACATACAAGTTGAAC